CTGAATTTAAGGTCATGTGCTTTATGCATACTTTAGTTCATCTTTTTCCAAGCAAAACGTCATGTATTTTGGAGTCAAGGTCGCGGCAGAAGTTGTATATTGGTCTATATCTTCAACTATGTAACTAACCAAGTGTTTTGATTTGTGGAACGAAACCTAATCTGTCTCTTATCCAAGTAGCAAGTAATATTTGTAAAGGAATTTTTGCGAAGGCTATGATGAAGTTATGGAGCAACGGACACCGATGCTGATAGGTTAGCAAAGTTCTCACATTCTTTGGATCAAGGGCGGCATGTTTGGTTGCCCGAACCCCATAATCCCTACTTCGTGTGAAGTTTGAGTAATAAAGTTTGGTTTAACCCCTCAAAGAAAAATCTAAGCAAAGTTATGTTTAATTGAAAGTAAATGTAAGTTAAGTTATGTTTTAATTAGAATAAAATGTAAGAAAAGCTAAGTTTGAGAGAGGCGCCATTAGCGGTAACCTTGATTTTGCTCAATGAGTGGAAAGCATGTCACGGTCACACATATGATTTTGCGAATACTCCTCTATCTTAAAACTTTGAAAACCTCCCTTCTAAAGTTGCAACACACTAAGCCATCCATTTTATTAATACACCTTTGGTGAAATGTCCTTCCAATTTTCAGGTCTATGTAGTTACTTGAGACGAGAATAGAGTTAAGAAATGTAACTGAGATTTTTCTACTTCTGAACAAAAAAGTATAACCACTAAATTTACAAGCTCAACCCTTATCTCCGACAATTATATCATTATCATGGCAATGTAAATTGCTCACGGTATCACTCCTAATCTACAACTACAACTATGTGCAGCAAGTTCACAAAGAAGAAAAAGAATGAAGAAAAACACAGAGAACTCTATAAAAGCACTACTAATCAACATAAGTTAGCCGTGCGTACATGCAGGATGTCGTGCTCGTGCATGGACCTCCTAACACTTTGCTCTTTCGAGCCCGTGTGCCACAGGAGACTCGCCGACACCGCCGCTCGTCTTGTAGTTGGAGCTGGCGTCATTGCAGTATGCGCCCTGCTTGAAACTGGAACTTAAATTTGGGATGGAAAGAACAAGCTCCTTGACATCAGAGCTCGACGACCGAAGGTGCGCGAGGATCTTGCTAAACTTGGCCTTTCGTCGCGTGATGGCTATCGATACGTCATTGGGGAAGAGGTCCTTCCGCAGGAAGGCGTGGTACATGGTGGTGACTAGCACGCCGGTGACCGTGACAACGGCAATTCCTGACAACACGACTACCAGTGAGCGGGTCAGCACATTGTCTACCTCCGATGCATACAACACGGTCGCCAAGGCCACACTCGTCATTGGGAATGTGTACGCCCACCATGCCAGCGAGAACCTGAACCCCCGAAAGAGGTTGACGCGTACCACTAGCGACACATAGAGGAATAGTGAGATGAAGTAAAGTAGCTTCGCACCATCGTTGAACTCGCCAGAGATCCTCGCCCAGGCCATGGACGCGACGCTAGGCGCGGCGACGAAAAGGAAGAACACTGGATGGAGCTCCTTTGGGAGTTGCATATTGGTGGGGAGCCGCTGATACAGAGTGACGAAGAGCACCGCATAGTGGGCCAACCCGACGCCGAAGAAAAAGATTGGCAACTCTCGGAGACCCATCCTAGCGCCGAGCAGCGCACCAACGAAGTTGCCAACGACAGCAAGGTGGTTGGATGGGTTGGCCACCTTTGAGAGGCGCCGCTCGCCGCTTGACATCCATTGGCCGTAGATCTTGAGGTCGAGGCACAAGATGGGCAACATGAGAAGGTACCAAACAACGTGGTGGATCTCCCACACCGGATGCGGCACACCCTTGACAAGGAAGAGGCAAGCAATCGATGGTGCAAAGAAGAAGTTGACGCGCACCGGGTGATGAAACTCGCGGCGGACAGCCTCGAAGTAGAAGACGACCTTAAGAAGGTAGGTGATGGAAACAACAACCATGAGTGTGACAGAGATCCACCAGAGGACGTGGTTGGCAGCAGGGTGCACATGAAGGAACTTGGTGGAGGGCTCTGACTCGAGGGTCTTCCACAGCATGGCCTGGCTGCTCACGCCAAGGCACATCCCGAAGGCGCTGATGGGGAACCGGAGCAGAAACGGCCATGTCTCGTCCTTAGGCAGCACCGCCACCTCCGTCGGCTGTACATCCACACCGTCATTAGACACAATGATGCTTTTGTTAAGGGAAGGTGAAAATCCGGTGATGTGGTACGTACACGAAGGGTCTCGAGCTCGGGCCCTTCGAGGGCGGCGAAGTAGCGGTCGGCGGTGGGCACGGCATCATCCTCGTCGGTGTCCTCCTCTGAGATCTTTGACGCCGCACCTTTCTCGACATCGGTGTCCTGTGGCACCCGGTGGACGCTGGAGAGCTGCCTCTCAAGGCGGCCAGAGAACGTCTTAAAGTGGTCAAACCGCCGGTCTCGCTCCCGCGAGCTGTCGCTCCGCGGCACCGCCGGCACCTCTCCGCCGCCTCTGACCACCAGGGACGGCTGCGAGTGGTATCGGGCCTGCTTCAGCAGCTGCGGCACCGCCGGGTAGTGAGCCCGCTGGACCGTCGACTCGCTTGGCGGCACGGCAGGGGCGTCCACGCCGGTCTCGTTGGCGCGGACGAACGGCGGCATGCCAAGCTGCGCGAGGTGGAGCCCCGAAGGCGAGCCTGGCACGCTGATCAAGACAGAGCTCGACGTCTCAGCGTAAGAAGCCGCGGCCGCTTCCTTGGTGGTCCTGCCGCCGGAAACAACGGCATCGGCGGCATCCATTGAAGAAATGCTGGCGGCCCGCGACGGCACACGAAGGAGAAGCGGCTCCGGGGACGGGGCACACCACGGCTGGCCGTTCAGTACCCACGCCATCTGGATGCTGACCTCTCTGGACGCCATGGCAACAACTCTCTCTCTCTCTCTCGTTCTTCGTCTCCACCGCTGGACGCGTGCGAGATGGTGGTGACTGGCGAGTGAATGTATGTGCATCGCATCGTGGGCGTGGCCAGCTTATTTATACACACATGGCCCGAGTGGACGACGCACGCGCGGCTAGCCAGCTGATGGATCGACGGACCGACCGACCGGCGACCGGTGGTCAGGTCAGCAGCGCCGGCACCGGGTGGGATGAGGCACGCACGTGGAGGAGAACACACGAAGGCTCCACGCATCACCGCACAGGCCGACCGGTGGACAGATATAGCGCGCGTCACGCAGTCACCGTCAGCAGTCGGCACTGTGCAGCCAGCGGTCGCGCCGGATTCCTCCACGCCTCTTGCCCGTGTCCATGTCAAAGAGACAATGTCCGTCATCGTCGTCTTTATCACGTCCCCGGCGGTCGATGGATCGAAGGAGACGAAACTCTTGTGCCTTCATGCACGCGACCTCGACCTCGACAGATGTTGTGACGGAGAGCTCGATCGATCGAGCGTGTCTCATGGGTTCGTGGCTAGTAATAAGATACTAGTATTCATGTATTAATTTGACGTAGAAATAATAGCAATACTAGGATTATGCATGACAGATAAAAAAATGGTTTTGCTATTTCACAGACGAGTGTTTTACAATTGGGCATCATTCAATTTTGTGGCCGTTCAATCTTGCACAGAGATTCATGCTGGGAGGTGCCTTTTTTCGGGCGTTTTCCTTTTATGTTTCTTACCGGTCGCGTAATAGTTTCCGGGCGAACCCGTTACTGCCCAATTGCCCATCCCCTAGGCCCTAGCCCTCTTTGTCTCCTTCTTTTTTCATTTCTGTCATTTCGATTCCTTGGCGATTTCCTTGTCGACCATGGCGATTCCGAGCTCCTTCTCTTCTGCAACTTGATTTCTGATCCAGTTCCTTGTGGTTTCGGTTGGTTATTCTCGTCTGCTCTCTTTTCCCACTGGATTTCTTCTAGATCTACTGGTTTGATTCGATTCCCCTGGTGCTTGATATAGATGTACGTGTACGTGTACTTGTAGCGGTGGATTTTCTCTAGCGATTTTTGTTGTTCTTGTAGTGGTAGGTGCATGGATGTAGCGGTGGATTCGTTTCCCCTGTCAATTTTCTATGTGCTGGCCTAGGCGTCTGATCTGCTGGATCTAGTGGTATTGGTAGTTTTATTCCTGATCGTTCTTGTTATGTAGATGTGGGTCCTTGCTCTTCCCTCGTTGATTTGATATCTGCTAGCCTGGGAGTTTGATTCAGAGGGTGTATTTTGGGGGTTAGATGTAGGTTCCCTGGTCGTTTGTTTTTGTATGTTCGTGTGATCTAGATGCAGTTGCTTATTTCAGTCCTTGCTCTAAATTTCCTTTGCCCTGGTCAGTTGATTTTGCTCGTCTGTGTGATGTAGAAGTAGGTGCTAATGGTCAATCCTTGCTCCTTGCTCTGAATTTGGTTCACCAGTCAATTTTTATTCTAATGGCCCTTGTGATGTAGATGCAGGTCCTAATTGTCAATCCTTGATCTGAATTTAGGTTCAAGGGATGTAGAGATGCAGTAGTAATTTAGGAAAACCTCCCTCGTCTGAAGTCAGGTTCTTAGTCATGTGAATGTTCTTATTCATTCTGTTTTGGTTTTGTATGTGTTTGGTGGTCTGTGTTGTATCTTCAGCTATTTTTTGTTCATGAATTTCTCTGCCCTAGTACTTCTGTAGTGTGGTGTTGGTACTTTAGATGCTATCTCCTTATTAGGTTGTGTAATTTTCAGTTTTGGTGTTATGCAATTTCAGTTTTTCACTCATTCTGTAGTATGGTTTGATATGGTCATGTCAGTGTTGTTGTATCCTCATATATTTGATGCTTAGGGTTTTGTGTGTGTTACATTTCAAGATCATGACGAGAATGAACTTCTCTTTCATGTAATGGTTTAGAGTCACGGTCCTGTTCCCTGCCAGTCTTTTTCCCTTCCAGACTAGACGAAGGAAATATTGATTCCATTCGGGCATGTGAGCAAGGGCGGCGTCGGCTTGACCATGTCTTCTGTCTTAGTCGTTTCGGAGACTAAGTTTCTCATTCAATGGTGAGGTGTTTATAGAAATCAAGGCCTCGCTCGACGAGTCATGTAGTCATAGGTTTGAGTTCCCTAATCAGTAGTGTAAGTTCCATAAGTAAGTAGTGTAACTTCCATTTGAATTCCATTAGTTTGCAACGTTTTTGAATTTTTATCACACTGGTGAGTTTCCTAGTTTTTTAGTACTGCAAGTTCCATAGGCAAGTCGTGGAAGTTTCCTAGTTTTGCAATGCCCGCTTGCACTTTTAGAACCTAACATTTTGGGTTTCTCTTTGTTGGATTTGTATTGAATCCATTTTACCATTTGAAAGTCTAAATGGAAAATACTGAAACTAAAGTGTAATCACAATGTTCTAGTCTCTTAAACGCATATGTTTTTATTAGAAATACAGTGTAATTTTACTGAAATTTGTACTGAGCACAATGTATGTTTCAGTAAAATTTCAGTGCAATTACTGTGTGCATTTTCAATGAAATTTCAGTGCAATTATTGTGTGCATTTTCAGTGGAATTATAGTGCTTTTGAATTGTAATTACAGTGGGGATTTCAGTGTAATTACAGTGAGGATTTTAGAGTAATCACATTATCTTTTAGTTAATTTACCTCTCTGGATGTTTTGGGTTTTGTCATTTATTTTCTTTTATTTTCTTTTGTTAGGGTTATTTGTATACTCGTACTTTATTTCTGCCCATTTGTGTAAGAAACCTTAGTTGTGCACATGATTTTCTAGTATATGTAATTTCAGCAGCTTGGTAACTGTATTTTCAATGTTTTGGGGCTTATAGCTACTATAATTTACTACTTTGGAAATGCTCTTTTTTTTTGCCACTGTACATGCTAAATATTGTGGTTATGCTATGTCCCTAGTGCTTTTATGCAAACTGACCAGCTTTGTGCCGTGGAATAGATAGATTATGTGATCTCTGCAAATTATCTGGTGATTTTGCAGGTGCTTGCATATTAGAGATGTGCAATCAACTAGGAGCTGAAAGTGAAGCTACTATTGAGTGTTGACATATCAAGTGCTCAAATAATGTGTATTTTTTCTAGTTGTGTAATTACATTGCATTTCAGTAGAGTTACAGTGTTTTTTATTTGTAACTAGAATGGAATTTCAGTGCAATTACCATGGGGATTTTAGTGGATTTTCTAGAGTAATCGCAGTTTACATTACAATGTAATTACAGTGATTTCTTAGTCTAACTACAATGGGCATTTAAGAGGATTTTCAGAGATATTATACTGTATTCCGTTGTATTTTTTGCAGTCAAATTGAACTGCAATTACATAGTCTTTTACAATGTAAGTACAATGTTTTTTCAGTGTAATTACAGTGTATATTTAGAGTAATTACAGTGTAAGTACAATGTTTTTTCAGTGTAATTACAGTGTATATTCAGAGTAATTACAGTGTATGTAATTTTTTCAGTGGATATTCAGAGTAACACACTGTATGTAATTACTGTGAATTTTCAATGTAATTACAATGGGCATTTAAGTGGAATTTCAGAGTTATTAAACTGTATTTCCAGTGTATCTTTGTAGTTAAATTGAACTGTGATTACACTGTTTTTCATAGAGCAAGTGATGTGCTTTTTGACTGGGATTTTCAATGTAATTACTCACTGTGTATGTTACATTAGGATATTTTGTTTGGGGATGTGAGCATGTGGGCACACATGCTACTAAACTATCTAGTTATCCCTTGCCTGATTCATGTGGGTTTTGTATACAGTGTGTGCTTTTTTCTTCTACTATATAGTTTGTTCTGGCTTTATTTGTGCTTTGCAATGTTACTGAACTGTCCAGTTCATGTTTCCTCTCTTGATTTATGCAGTACATCTGTTGTTTTCACATGTCCTGGCAAAATTTCTCTCTTGATCTTCAGAGCATAGAAAATTCACTAGGCATCAAAGTAGGGATTGGAATTGGAGAATCTTCAGAACTGCAAAAATTGGGACCCATCCCCTGACCTTTTTACTGTCCAGGCATAATTGTGGTCTAGTTTTAAGAAATCGGATCTAGGGCATCAAACCTGTTATGGTCCAGATGGGATTTTAGGCTGGGCCGTTTCAGTCCTGATGCATAAATGGCATAAATGTGCTGCTTTTGCTGTTTGTTGACATACATATAGCCAAAGGAGGAAATAAAGGGCATACACGTGTCAGCTCCCTATTTGGTGCAAAATTTGATTGTAATCCAATTGGATTTCAGTCGACTGTCAAGTAGACAGTCCCTAAAAAAATAAAGGCAAGCACGACCGTCTTTTTGTGTGTGCAAAGAATAAAATGGTGCATGTATGGGCCCATGCTCGTGCTCAAACGGATAACACGTTTGAAAAAGAAAACTATGATAGAATTGTGGTCATATAGTAATCCCTCATGATCTTATTGTGGGACGCAGGGAGTAGTTTTTTTTTCAGATAATGAAAGCTCTCATCGATCATACAATTGCATGTGAGCTTTGCCTCCGTGATTGCTCGGTGTTATGCCAGGATTATTCGATTAGGGCATCTCCAACGTCGGCCCTCAAACCATCCAAACGCTGTTATCCGAACCCCAGAAGCCGTTCAACGCCGACACCTTTCGTCCATGGAGCAGTTCAGACCATGATTTTCTTGCAGACCAGAAACCAAACGTGTGTGGGGGGGGGCTTTTACGGGAGTTCGAAGGGAGGCAGAGTACGCGCTTTTGTAGCTGTCCACACTGTTTCCACGGCAAAATCTCCCACTCTCTTCTTCCATTATGTCGCTCTCCACCCAATTCCCGCCCTTTTCTCCCCTGCTCTCTTCTTCCCTCCCTCTGCTGACACATGGAGCCGTAGTATAACCTACCGAAGATGGAGGTGTTGAAGGTCCTGGAGGATCCGAGCATTATGCTTGCCCGGAAGATCAACTCGATGACGT